ATTCCCTCAGCATCCCTGCAATTCCAAACACTACAGTCCAAGTCCTTTTGGATTCCTCCTGCCGACACTTCCCCAATCTCTAGGAACTGCACCGGTTGGTTCTTGTAGGTTGGCGTGGCCAACTTCGTAGGGTGAATTAGACGCCGGTATAGTTTGACCGGTATACTATCTGAAGTATACCGGTCAACCTTTTGGTCAACCAATCATCCCTTCGCCGACGATCCAGACCTCTCTTGCAAGTTTGACTTCTTTGACCGGTCAACTATCCGGTCTTGACCTTTGACCGGTCATGGGTGAAATACACCCATCATTAAGCCCTCCACTTCTCGGTTATGCAATTTTGTCATAAGCGGGAAGTAAAAAGTCTGAAACTGGACTCTAAATTCGAATTTTTGGCTCTTCCCGCTTGAAAAATTCAACAAATTTGAATTTCAAATTTGAAAGAACTCGCCACGTGTCGGACACCAGCCGTTGCAACGGTCGGCTACCCACACGTCGTTTCGTCTGCCAAGTACCATCATTGCGCCGCCCGTTGTGGCGCAATCTCAAGGCGCCACGTCGCCTACTTTTGGCCTCCCCTCTCCTATATAAAGGCCCTCAACCCTCTCACTTGTTCACATTTCGCAATTCAGTTCCTCAGAGCTTTCACCGGTCAAGCTTCTCTTTCTCGCTTCCTAGCCCTCCGAGTCAAGTAAGCTTTCTTCCTTCCCTCATTAGTTTTTCTTCAGTCTCTATTTCTTTTTCCGGTAGATGTCTTCTCCCGATAGTCAGGATATTTCCGCCTCAGATGCCCGCGCATCTGAGGAACCTCTTTCTTCTTCTTCATCGACCGGGTCACCTTCACCCGTTTCGAGATCCCGGTCAGTTCCCAACCCAAATATCCCTGAACCGCGGCCTGTAAACCAGATGCCCGGTCAGATCTTTCAAGAGGGGAGTGAACCGGTCGAAGATGAGCCGGCCCCCTATGACCCTGATAACGAATCATATGAGGCATGGGTGGACCGGTTGGAAACGGCCGGTTACTTTCCTCTTCCCACCAGTTACCCTTCAGAGATCTACCCCCATGTTTCCAAGATCGCCCAAAACAAGGCCCGAAGGAACCTCCCGGAGGGATATGTCCTCGAATACGACCCAAACTGGCCCAACATCATCACGCCTCACCGGGACGATAGGGTAGGGTTCCATATCATCTCCCTGGAGAGTGGCACTGTCTTCCCCCTTCGCCCCCTCCTGGTTGAGTTGTGCCACTGTTTCAAGATCCTCCCCAGGCAAATTACGCCCAATGCCCACCGTTTTCTTAATGCCTTTGTAAATATCTGCATCCATCTCAAAATCGACCCTTCCCTTCGTTTTTTCCTTTACTTGTTTGAAGTTCTTCCCGGTAAGTCGGGTTGCGACGGCTATGTCTATTTCAAATGCCGTAACGGTCGCCAATTCATTTCTGACCTCCCACAAAGCAACCGGCAGTGGAAGGAAAAATTCGTTTTCATAAAGTTCCCTACGGTTTCTCCTTTGGCCGGCATACCATGGAATGACCACATCCTGAAGCCGCAATTTACTGAGCCGGCCACCGCCCCAGACTTGGAAGAGAGTCTAGAGAAGCTTCTCCGAGGGGACTCGTTCACCGGGCAAATGTTTCATTACGGGGCTTGGATCTGGCGGGTCCAACCGGGTGGCCAGGGTACCCCCATGGCTCAAGAAGCAGCGGGGCACGGGGTACCCGCCCCGGGCAACACTGCAGAGGCCGGGGGTCCCAGCCACCCAGGTACCTTTCCTTCCTTTTTCTTCTTGCTTTTGTTATACCGGTCAAAGTTCGAACATTCATGTTTTTGCTCGTTTTGCAGACATGAATTTCAGGGCGTTCAACATGCCGAAGACAACCGGTGGTTCTTCTTCCTCTGCCCCCAAAACTGTCCCGGTCCAGAAGGAGACAATTGAAGTTCATTCCGAGGAGGAAGCCCCTCTGACCGGGGGAGGTACCCAGACTGGCAAGGCACCGGTGAATCCCTCCCCCAACAAGGGAAAAGGGAAAAAGAGAATGAAGCAAGCGGCCACCACCCATCCTTCGGTCAAGAAGAGAAGGGGAGAAGACCCCTCGGATGAAGAGTCCTTGGAGGAACTCTGGGTCAAACTGACCCTCAAACTGAAAGGGGTAATCTTCGTACTAACCGGCATTTTCTCCCGGGTTTGCCTTTCAATCTTCGTCTTAACCGATGTTCTTTTCTATATGCAGATGGGTGAAGTTAGGTCGGTTGTACTAGAGCAGCTCACCGAAGACTCCTCCTCCCGGTTAGCCAAGCTGGAGGAGAAATTGAGGAGGTTCGAGGCCCACAACCGGGAGCTGAAGGAGCTGACAGCCCGGCAGGCAGATGAGATGGCCAACCTTTCGGCGATCGCCGAAGGGGCTAAGGCGGAGACCCTCCAGCTGAAGGAGGAAAACCTGAAGCTGATGGAGGACTTAGAGTCCAAGGAGCTGGAGTTCCCCAGTAGGGCCAGGCAATGGGTTGGAGAGAACCTGGGCGAGACGGCCCGGGTGATTACATCTACCCCGGAAGTGACGATGGAGGCCTTCAAGTTTATATACCAGGAGGAGCAGGGGAGGGAGATGATTACGCAGATCGGGTCCTACGGTTTTATGTCCGGGCAGAAAAGAGATCGTGAGGCTACACATGCAGTCCTGACAGAACGTGACCGGGCTTTCACCGCTGAAACCTACGGGTTGGCCCCCATTCCCGAGGAAGAGCCTGAGCCCCCCTTCCCTTTGGAGTGAAATCTCCCCGGCTGCGCCCGGTTACCTTTGTAAAAACTCCAAACTTGAAATTTCCCCGGGGATGCCCGGTGTACTTGTAAAACACTTAACTTCTTTATTTTGTTGAATGCCATGTTCGTTTTCTTTACCGGTTAATCCTTTACGTCTGCTTGTTTCTTGCTTGATACTTTGTTATTGCTTCTTAGAATACCATCATAGAAACTCTGGCCGGTAGAAATATCAGGCCACTTCGCAATTGTCTGTGACCGGTAGAACTTCCAAGTTCTTCTTGATCACTTTATTTGAAAGTTCAGTTCAAGTGCCTTTGACCGGTTGAACTCCAATTTGACGGCCAATTTGAAAAAATGTTTGACCGGCTAGACTTCCCTTTGGTTTTTGGGTACCTTCGTTCTTGTTTTTAAAATGAAGCGCAGTTTGACCGGTAGGCCTCTTCTTCATGGTCTGACCGGTGAACTGCTTCGCCTTGTGGAACTTTCGAAGTTCCGATGTGCCACTACCCAACCGGGGTATTCTTTTTTTTTTTTTTGACCGGTAGGTTGTAGATGGAACACCTGTAACCTAGTGATTTCTTGAAGTATCCTTAACCGGTAAGAATACTGGAGATTTAACCATGTTCGGATGGTTTCGGACCCTCTCCAAGATCTAGATGCACCCTTCTTCCAGGGCCCCCTCTTCCGGGTGATTAAGTCTTTTAATGGCCCTTTGATTTCTACCATCCCGGGAAGGCCTTAGCTCACCCCCCCGTTCAAGTCTTCCCTGAGAAGGGGGAAACAGGATGCGCCACGGTGGACGATCCCCTTTTATTTCTTTTAATGGGCATCTTTTAGTCCCCAATCAATTTGACGGTACCGGCTGATTCCCCGATACCGGTCAAACCTCATGGGCCCGTGTAAGTACGGTTCGAACCTTCTTCCAGGTCCAGCCCTCTTGCAGGCATACCCTCTTCCGGGCCCCTCTTCCGGGTTTTATATTTTTTCTATTATACTGAGCAAGACCGGTGTAGTAACCAGCGTGCCAGGTCCGGGCCTGTGTCTCAGTTGGCTTATCCGAGTGGATCCGATCCACCCGGGAAGCCCTCCTAGGATAGGTTCGACCTATCAATTATGCTGCTACCATGTAAAGTATCGAACTTTGATTTGATTGATAATTGAAGCAGGCCTTGCCTAGTATTACAGTCACTTGTAGAACTTGCGAAGATGGTGGGAATTCCAGGTTCTTTCAACCGGTACACCATCTAGAGTTTCTAACCGGTAGGTTCCCGGGCGAATGATAGTTCTCACCCGGTAAGGTCCTTCCCAGTTCTTGGCCAGCTTGCCTCCGTCTCCAGGTCTACTAGCCTCCCTTCTTCGCAGAACTTCATCACCGACTTGAAAGTATCGTGGTCCAACCTTGTTGTCGTGGTATTTTTTTACGACCTGTTGATATGCACTCATTTTAACTTCCGCGGCCATTCTCCGTTCTTCGACCAAATTGAGTTCGGCCAAGTGATCTTCTTCATTTTGCTGGGGTTGATAATTTGATTCCCGAAATGTTGGGAATTCGGCTTCGATGGGCAGCCTCGCTTCACACCCATAGGTTAGGGAAAATGGAGTTTCCCCGTGAGCCCTCCTGGGTGTTACTCGGAACGCCCAAATGATATGTGGAAGCTCTTCCAGCCACTTGTTGCCCGCTTCTCCCAACCGTTTCTTTAGGCCATCCACAATCGTTCGGTTGGCGTTTTCAACTTGGCCATTTCCTTGGGGGTATGCCACCGAAGAGCGATTGTGCTTGATTCCAAAGCCCTCCAAGTATTCGGTGAATCTTGGATTTCGGAATTGTGGGCCGTTGTCGGTAATTAGGTTCATGGGAGCCCCAAACCTTGTAATGATGTTCTTCCATATGAACTTCTTGCATTGTTGCGTGGTGATATTGGCCAAGGATTCGGCTTCAATCCACTTGGTGAAGTAATCGATGGCCACGATTACAAATTTCTTCCTTCCTTGGGCAATTGGGAACGCCCCAATGATATCCACCCCGAATCTAGCGAAAGGGATGACATTTGATACGGGGTGATAGTAGGTCGCCGGCCTACCGGGGTATTTGTAGAATACTTGGCATGTTCTGCACTTCTGGACATACCTTTCACAGTCTTGGACAATAGTTGGCCAGTAATACCCCAACAAGATGATGCGCTGGGAAAGGGTGCGAGACATTTGGTGTGCCGCGCACACCCCTTCATGGACTTCTGCAATGACTCGCTCAGCTTCCCGGTTGGTTAGGCACCTCAGGAGGGGTCCCCCGAACGCCCTCTTGTACAGCTTTCCGTCAAGGACTTGGAACCGGGGTGCCCTGAGCTTCACTTTTCTTGCCCGGTCATCTTGTTCCGGCAAGGTGCCATCCATCAAGTATTCCATCAGGTCATATATCCAGTCGTCATCCGCCCCGACCAAGTTTGACCGGTCAGACTGGTTCGCTCCTGCTATGGCGGCTACTTCCAATCTTTCGATGCTGGCATGATCAAGAATTTCTACCCGGGCAAGTTTCGAAACATGCTCGGGAGCATACTGCGTCAATTTGGAGAGAAGGTCTGCATCTGCATTTTCCGCCCGGGGGATTTGGGCGATCTTGAATTCCTCAAAGCCTTTCAACAAGGCAAGTATTAGGTCCCTGTACCGCGCCATTCGACCTTCTCTAGCTTCCATGTTACCGGTCACTTGCCCGACGATCAAACTGGAATCAGATTTGATACTGACCCGGTCGATCTTCAAGGCTTGGGCGAGTCTGAGCCCTCCAGCCAGAGCTTCGTATTCTGCCTCGTTGTTCGTCAGCTTGAAGTTGAAGATGATTGCATGGTAAATTTTGAATCCTTCCGGGGTGGTAAAGACTATACCATCCTCGTAGCCTTTAAGACCGGACGCCCCGTCTACCGCCATCTCCCACCACTGTTCGGTAGGCTTGTCGGCCGGTGCATCTGGAGTTACACCGCTCATTTCTACCAAGAAATCTGCGAGGGCCTGCCCTTTGATTGCCGACCTTGGCCGGTACTCAATGTTGAATTGAGTTAACATCATCGCCCACTTCACCATCCTCCCGGAGGATGTTGAATTCCGCAACACTGCACCCAGCGGTTGGTCAGTCAAGACTTCTACCGGGTGAGCTTGGAAGTAGGATGTTAGCTTTTTTGCAGAGATGAAAAGCGCGTAGGCTGTTTTTTCCATCGCCGTGTATCTACTTTCAGCTCCGTTTAGTGCTTTGCTCACATAATAAATAGGCTTTTGCGCCCCATCATCTCTTATTAAAACAAAGCTTACAGCATTTGGGGAAATTCCCAAGTACAGATACAGAGTTTCACCCGGCTGGGGTTTAGACAATACAATATCCGACACTAGGTACTCTTTCAGCTCCTCGAATGCCCTCTGGCACTCCTCGTCCCATGCAAATGTATTGGCCTTCTTCAGGACTTTGAAGAAAGGCAGGGACCTCTCAGCTGACCGGGAAAGGAACCGGCTCAGTGCCGCTAGACGACCGGTCAACTTTTGGACATCCCTCACAGATGTGGGGGCTTGCATTTCAGTGACAGCCCGGATTTTTTCTGGATTGGGCTCTATTCCTCTCTTGGTCACCATGAACCCCAAGAACTTCCCGGTACGAACCGCGAAGACGCACTTCTTGGGATTCAACCGGAGGTTATATCTTGCCATGATATCGAATGTGGCGCGCATATCAGCCGGGTGATTGAGTGATACCTGGCTTTTGATTAGCATGTCGTCGACGTATGCCTCCATGATCTTTCCCAGTAGTGGCTTGAAGAGCTTGTTCACCATGCGCTGGTAGGTTGCCCCCGAGTTCTTTAAGCCAAACGCCATCACCCGGTAGCAGTATGTTCCTTCGGGGGTGAGGAATGACGTTTTCTCTTCGTCCTCCTTGGACATGTAGATTTGATGGTAGCCCTTGAAGGCATCCATGAAACTCAGGAGTTCGCACCCCGCAGTTTCGTCCACCATTTGATCTGGGCTGGGAAGGGGGTATGAATCCATCGGACATGCCTTGTTCAAGTCCGTATAGTCCACGCACATTCTCCATGTGTCCCCCTTGGGAGCGAGGACAACATTGGCCAGCCATTCCGGGTATTTGACTTCCCGAACGTGACCAACGCTAAGGAGGTCCTTCACCTCCTTCTTGACGAAGTCCCGCCGGTCGCTGGCCAGATATCTTTTCTTCTGGCGTACCGGTCGACTTCCCTCCCTCACTGCCAACCGGTGACAGATGATTGAGCGGTCAATCCCGGGCATATCCGCCACGCTCCATGCGAATATGCCCGCGTATTCTTGAAGCACCCGTGTAATCTCTGCCTTGAGATCTTCTGGGAGGTTTGCTCCAATTCTGACCATCCTTGATGAATCACCCGGGTGAAGTTCAATCTCCACCGTCTCAGCTTCAGGCTCCAGTTTCTCCCGGGTTTCTCCCTTGGTGATTTCTTGGGAAATGACGTTGACTCCCTTGGTCATCTTCTTAACTGCCCGGGCGTAGCACTCCCGGGCGTTCCTCTGGTCGCCCTTTACCTCACCCACACCGCCTGGAGTGTGGAACTTCATGCATAGGTGAGGCATGGAAATCACCGCCCCGACTTTGTTGATGCCTGGCCTTCCAAGGATTGCATTGTGGACGCATTTGATGTCCACAACAATGAACCGCATCCTTTTCCACACGGTTTTTTCGCCCGATCCTAGTTCGACCGGTAGAACTATGGACCCCTCAGCTTCCACTGTGTCTCCTGTGAAACCTGAGAGAGGGGTTTTGAGGGGTTCAAGTTATGTCCGGCACAACCTGAGTTTTTAGAAAGTCTCCAGGTATAGGATGTTGACACTACTGCCGGTGTCAACAAGTACCCGGGCGACGTCCACCCCGTTGATGTCCATGGTGATGACCAGTGGATCGTTGTGATCTTCACCGGTAGGAGGGAGGTCCCGGTCAGTGAAGACTAGTGGATCCCTCCTGGGATACTTACGTCTGGCCGGTTCAGCACTTACTTCACCCACGTAAATGCTGCGGACCCAATTCTTCCGTTGCGCGGCCGAATCTCCACCCTCGGGTCCGCCAAAGATCATCCCAATGTGCTCTTTGTCGGGGGGAGGTTGTTCCCTCGGCCGGTTGTTCCTCCGCCTGTCCTTGTCTCGGTCGTTCTCCTGGGTTGATGGCCGAACCCATTGGTGGTTTTTCTCTTGGGCTTTCTGCAGGTAATCTTTGCCCAGTTCCCCGCTGTCTATCATCTACCGGATCACCCCCTTAACACTTTTGCATTCTGAGGTGCTATGGGAGTCGGACCGGTGGTATGAGCAATAGGTACCCGACCACTGGCGCCCAGTCTGACCGGTAGGATTTTCCGGAGGAATGACCGGGTAGGGAGCCGGTGCTTTCCTTACCTCCTGGCATTCTTCTTCGTTGACCATGCGTACGACCGGGTCATAGTGGTGCCTTGGCCGGCTGGGTCCCGACGCTTCTTCCTTTTTGACCTGCACCGGCTTGGGCTTGTAACCATGCTCAGCTTCTTTTTTCGCCCGGAGCTGAGTTTCTGCCTCCGCGAACTCCCATGCAGTGTGGTAGGCCTCCTGATACGTGGCCAGGGGTTTTCGGCAGAACTCCTTGTAAAGTTCCCCGGCTCGCAAACCATTCAGGAGGAGGGACAATACTGTCTTGTCATCCATTTCCTCAACCTTGTCTACCTCCTCCTTCCACCGGGTAAGGAACTGAGTGAGGTTCTCTGATTCCCGCTGTCCGGCTGTACTAAGATAGGTGAATTTCTTCCTCTTAGTACAGTTCTCCTGGAACTTGGCCTTGAATTTCGAGGCCAAGTCACTGAATGAGTCAATGCTTCCCGGGCGAAGCTTGTTGAACCACTCAGTGGCTCGATTCCGCAAGGTTTGGAAGAAGAGGAGGCATTTTTCTTCATCTGTACAACCGTTCATGGTTGCATTCTGATTGAAGGAGTCCAGATGGATCTCTGGGTCCTCCTTACCGGTGAACCTTGGGGCATCTATCTTGACCTTTCGCGGGAAAGGTGTCAGATGGACCCTTTCGGTGAACGGGGAACCTGCGAGAGGTTTGTCCCGGTCACTCTTCTCTCCAACCTTCTTCTCCAGCCTCTCCAGCTTTGCCTCCATCTGCTGGACGCGATCATTGGGGGTGGTTAACCGGTTAGCCACCGGTACCCTGGGTTGGCTTTCTGCTTCCTCCTCCTGGCGAGAGACCCTCGTCCAAGCTGGCTCCTGCCGGTTGGACCGGGAGCGTCGGGTGCGGGCAGGCTCGGCCTCCCGCATCTCACCCAACCGGGGAAAAGCGCTGACATGGGCAACGCTCTGCCCCAGCCTCAGCTTGGCTGACTTCCTCTGGCCCTCTTCCCTATCCCCCAGCCTTTCGAAGGCGGAGTTTCGGGAAGTTGCTGGGCGGATAGTTTTTCCCTTCTTTTTCTTGTGGGTCCTTGGAATGTCCCACTCGTCGTCTCCACTTTCAACCGAGACGCAGTGACCATCGGGAGTGATTAGCGGATTTGTACCTCGCGGGGGACACGACGGCCCTGCAGCGTTGAGCGCGCCAGTCAAGTTGACAGGTGCCATGGTGCTGACCAGCGCCGGTTGGAAAGGTGATGGCTGCGGGATCGGCGTCTGAAACGGCGTCACCGCCATTGGAGTTTGCAGGGGCATCGTTCCCGCACCTGGGAGAGCGAACGGGAACATACCAGGGAGAAAAGGCATCCCCCCGTTCTGTTGGCACATGGCCATGACCTGGCCAAAGCCCTGGATGGCTTGCAGGTTGGCTGGGTCATTCATGAACTGAGTCATGCTTGGCGGGAAAGTGACCCTTGGCCCAGCGGAAGGGACGGGGGCCGTGAATGGGCTGACCATGCTGGGTGTTGGAACCGAGCCCAGTCCCAATGGCAAAACCGGAGCAGAAACGGTGGGCAGAGTAACAGCCATGGGGATGCTGGTACCTTCAGTGGTGGCTTGCACCTGAGCAGGGGTGGCGTTGATTTGCTGGCTGGAAGGCATTTTGAGTGGTGTTTTTGTGGGTAGGTTTGTGTTTAGAAGAGGAAAAACCTTAACGGTCCCACGGTCGGCGCCAAAAATGATGGTGTAAATTACTTGACCGGTCAAACTATACTAGACCGGGTTTAGAATAGTTGGCTCGATTCGGTAAGATAAGAAAGGTAAAAAGCACAAAGATTGACCGGTAGGACTTTAGGTGGAACACCTGTAGCCTGAATTATATTAAAAGAGAGAATGCACGGTCACTTTTACAAGGGAGTTAAGGGAGAATGAATTCGGATCCCCTTATTCGAGGGTTACAAGAGGTATATATACTAGGCTGGGGGGCAGGACCACGTGCGCCCACGTGGGGGCATGCTGCTGGCGTGGTGTGAAGTGACTGGCTCTGAGCTGCCTTGTCATCTTGCGCGGGGGGTGGCGCCCTTGTCGCGTTCTGGTTTGGAAAAATTCCCTCAGCATCCCTGCAATTCCAAACACTACAGTCCAAGTCCTTTTGGATTCCTCCTGCCGACACTTCCCCAATCTCTAGGAACTGCACCGGTTGGTTCTTGTAGGTTGGCGTGGCCAACTTCGTAGGGTGAATTAGACGCCGGTATAGTTTGACCGGTATACTATCTGAAGTATACCGGTCAACCTTTTGGTCAACCAATCATCCCTTCGCCGACGATCCAGACCTCTCTTGCAAGTTTGACTTCTTTGACCGGTCAACTATCCGGTCTTGACCTTTGACCGGTCATGGGTGAAATACACCCATCAAAGCTTATTGGTTTTGATTTTAGATTCCACCAGGAAGACTAAGAGCAACTCCAATGGTAAGAGGTGTCTTGGAGAAGTATATATCTCATTTACCTCTCCAAATGATCAAGTTTATCTTTCTAAAAAGTGTGCAACTCCAATGGAGAAAAGTAAATCAAAAGGCAAAAGAGGGAAAAAATCCATCTCCATACATTATTGGGAAAAATTAGTTGATTTACCTTCTTAAATCAAATTTTAATTATTAGAAAAGAAAATATACATTCTTAAAAAAATCATGGGGAGGTAAATTTGAGGTTTGTTGTATTTGTTTCTTCTTGATTAAATTTTTAAATTTAAAGATTTTATAGAAATACAACTAATTTATTGGGGAAAAAAATAGAATGTCAGTTTTGAAATAATTAAATATATATTATGTCTAATTACACATGTAAAACTATAAATACTCGAATAGAAAAAAACTTAAAAATACAGAGTGCAAGATTAAAAAGCAAAGTATCCCTTTTTTGTTAATTCTTGACTTGTTAAGTTTTACAATGACAAAGATACAAATTAATAATTTATAATAATACATTCAAGCAAAAATACAATAACTAAAGTAATTGAAGAAATAAATTTAAAAGATGAGAAAATTGATATACCACCCCAAATGAAGAAGGTATAGATACCTCTTCAAAATTGAAGAAGGTATAATACCTTCTTATTTACCTCTCCCATTGGAATATGATTTTTAATGAAAAGAGGTATATATCACAAATATTCCTCTTTACCCTTTCATATACCCCTCCCATAGTCCCATTGGAGTTGCTCTAATAATTGAGAGAGGAATGATCATTTCGGTTTTGGGTTAAGAGCTTCAAACTCTGCGACGAGTTTGGGAAAGAGTACGAGAGGAGGGAGGAAGCTGAATTGAGGAGAGAGAGAAGTATGAATATACAATTTTATCCATATTCTTAACAAAAACGTTAACAAAGGACCATTCGTGAATAATGATATAATAATTGGGGACTAAATTAGTAATATTTGATATGTAGAGACTAAATATGTAAAACAACCTATAACTGGAGACCTTTTATGAAATTCCTCCTCTTCTTAATTACTCCATAGTTACTTAGTCAAAACTTAAAATTCGTTGTGTAATTGGGATATGTTTTTTGAAGAGGATTAGAAGGTACTAGGTAGTAAGGGAAGAAAGTACACCTGGATAATATTTTTAAAAGAGTGAGCTCCGTTGACACCCGTCAATGGTGACACTAGTGGTGCCATTGCATTTTTTGGAACACCTTCAATGCTTCAATTGAGAAATTGATGGTTCCTACCACTCTTAACTCACACCCTAAACCCCCACCCTAGCCCCACTTCTACCCCACTTCAGCCCCGTCCTAAGCCTCCCTCCAAATATTACCAAAGTGGTATTTTTGTTTTAAAAGTGTTCAAATGTTACCAAAATGGAATATTGTAACCTATATTGGGGCAATAAAAATGGAGAATATTGTAATCAAAATTGGGACGGAGAGTATCTTTTAACCAAATTAAAGAAACAAAGTTTACAGAGTAGTATTTTAGGGAGCACTTCTTTACCTTTCTTTTTTACCTCCACTTTTTTCCCCCCCCTTTTTACCACAGTATTTTGCGGAGCACTTCTTTACATTTCTTTTTAGTTACCTCCATTTTTTTTCCTTTTTACCACAGTATTTCCCTTCTTTGCCAAACACAATCTGAAAGTACCAAAAACAATTCATTCATTTACGGAGTAAATTAAATGTCACCAAGCATTGGCGTGTAGCGAGAGCAGGTGCGCCTTGAATTGTACCTGATGATGATGATGATGACCTTAAAGGAATCTTCACACCCATTAAATTAGACTCTCGCTCTTGGTAATATACTACGTTCGTCTCCCACAAAAACCTTTTTCTTTTTTTCCACCTGTCCCAAAAAACTTTTCTCATTTCTATTAAAAAGTCACTTTCACCCCTTTTAATTCTTAACAGACCTATCACATCACACTTTTTTACAACTCGTATTAATCTTCTCATCACGCCTGTTTTTACTCAACTCATCAAATTATCTAAACAACTTTTTTGGAAAGTCAACACTAAAATAATTCCTTTAAATCTTTTAGAAGTTAAAACCGGAAAGGTTTTGTGAGAGAAAGGGTGTATAACACACAAATTTTTCTCACATTCATCCGATAAAGTGCTTGCATGATATGGCACCCACACATGGCCTTACACACCCACTACCCCACCCAAGTATATCTCCTGTCTCCATCTGTATATATGAAGAAGAACACAACAATGGCCGTGTTTGGCGCTTGACAGATCTGCCAAGAATTGGGTGTTTGACTATCATTAATGACTTGGACCTGCCAAAAGAACAAAAAGAATTGTTTGGTGAATGGCTTTTGAAATTGGCTTTTTAATCTAAACAGCCAAAAATGAAAATGCCACACCACCCAGCATTTCAGTTTGGCATTTGCGGAACATTTCTTTTTTGCCCCCAACGATAGTCTTTGGTCTTCTCCACCCTTGTGTATTTTTTTTTTGTTTTTTTATTTGTGGATTCAATCTACTTTTTCTTGATCTCAATTCTATAAAATTTAAAATGGTCTTCTCTTTTTTTTTTCTTTTTCTCTCATTGCACATTCTAAATCTATCCATTCTTCAAAAACTAATTCAACCAAAGTTTAAGGTCACAATTAGGACTATAAATGTTTGACACTTCAAATTGTAATGTTTATCTTGAGTAATTTTTTATTTCATTTTTTGATTTAAAGTTAGTGTAGAGTATTCTCATATATTTATGATACAATATTAAAAAACCTATAAACTAAAAGGTAGCATGTTTGTTACTTGTAAAATGACAAATGAATAAATATACAAAAAAAAATATAATCATAAAATGTAAGTGTTAATTCTCATTTCCTAATTTGTTAAGCAAAAATACAAAGTAGTCATTTTTTGTAGAAAACAGATATATGTAGAGTATTTTCTTGTATAATGTGTGTGATTAATCAAAATAAAAAATTATACTCCCTCAGTCCTAATTTAAATCGCTTGTTTTAGTTTACGATGTTGTGCTAGAATTTTTTTAAATCATTTTATATGAAAAAATATGTAGAATTAAAGAATAAAATTTATATACGGAGTATTTAAAAACTACATCAAAAAAACCATAAAACTAGTGGTGACATGGCTAGATTATTTTATCAAATAACTGAAAAAATAGGAAAAAAGTGTATGAAGTTTGACTATGTGCATAGTAAATAAATGGAGGAATGTCCTTGTATGTAATTTCACCCACAAACAACTAATTATAAACAGCTAAATTTGCCAAACATTTTTTTCTAAACTGCTAACACAAATAGCCGGTTAAACAGTTAACTCAATCAGCCATTCGAATCAGCCAACATAAACAGCCAACTGCCAACCACCAACAACCAGGTTCCAAACAAGGCCAATATATAGCTAATAAGAGGCTTTTCATTCAGGTGTTCATTGGTTGGCCTCTCTGGGCACAAAATCATTTATGTTCCCTCAAACATATATTATATATACACACTAACTAACAACTACACTCTGGTCGGCCTTCAAATTTTAATTTGTTGTCCGAACCCAAATACCCAATTCTAACCTCAAACTCTTCTATTCATGGAACAACATTGGTGGGTGTCCAAGTTAAACATGCGTGCGAAAAAAAATGGTGCGAGAGTTTGAGGTACCAACAACAAGAAGTGTGAGAGTTAAAAACTTAAAATTAACCCAATGTCTCAAAGGCTTCCGTCGCAATCTGATGGCTATGTTTAAATTATAAATCAAGTGTTTTCAAACTCATACAATATCACAGTCAAAAAACCAACTTAACCAAAAACTTAAATTTATGATCATAGACCCAAGGGAGGTTTTTTATAGTGAAATTTCTAACACGCTCCTCACGTGCAAGCGTGATCGCTTTGAGGTTTGAGCTTGTGGTTGAGTTAGTTACTTAACATGGAATGAAAATCTTACTGACTTAGTTCAAATCTCACTGCCGCCATCTAATTTTTTAAAAAATAATTAATGTTCTCGTTCAAGGTTCGAGTAAGGGCGTGTAAGTTAGAGTATATAACCTTTTCTATATCCACAACCACAAAGTTTGAGTTTTTACTTGAGTCGATTCTTTGACAAATATATATAGAGAAGAGAATCATAACCCAAGTAATATAATTAAGGAATTATGGTAAGAATAAGAAAAGTAAATAATAAGATCATAAGAATATTCTATTTCATATTACTTGTGTTATTCCTAATATCCCCGCAAGATGAAGATCTCGCATCAGTAACGAGAAGCAGCTTGAAGTACTAGTACTGCAATGGAGCTGGTAGA